AAAACCTTTGGAGCAGGACAGTACATGCAGGAGGAACTAGATGAGTTAGTTACAGAGAGATACACATACTAGGCAGAATCAGGACAGACAAAATCGCCCCGAGGCAGTAAGTTCAAAACTGCAGTTGACAATGCACTGGCCTTTGCTTTGCAGGGAGCAATCTGTCAAAAAAAATGGGCTGGGTGATCAAATCACAGAATTGCAGCTACAGAGAGAATGGAAACACCTGAAGGGCAGTGTTTGAAGATGTTACAGGTCTGAAAGAGTTCCTCCTTAATATCTGTTTTTTCCTTCAGTCAGATATATGGAAAGCTGCACATGCTATAGAAACAAAAACGCCCCAAATTAAATAATCTTGTAGTCAGTAGCAATCATTCAGTGCCCACATTACAGCAGATAACATCATTGCACACCTGTGGGCCAGCACCAAGTTGCCATCTACAGTTGTCATGGCTTGCTGAAGAATTAAGGGCTGTGGCTTACAGAAGGCTAAAACAAGATGCTAGCATGTGAAAATGAGCACACTACTCTTAGCAGTCAGGTTGGTGGAGAGAAGCAGGTCACCAGCACGTAAAGTCTTTGTGCCCTGTAGTCCGATCACCAGCCAGCTTTACCATCATGCAATTTCCCAAACTTCAATGGAAACATAGTAGATGTAGTTTCCCATAGGTGATGACCTACAAGAATCAGAATCTTGAATAAAAAGCATTGCTGGGATTTGTTGGATGGGAGGGAATTAAGCGAGAGGAAAGAAAGTAAGAATATCAAACCACAGCAGCAAAAGACCACTGTCACGACTGCATTTTTTTCTCCTTTGGATAACCACTCTTGGTAAGTATTACATGCTAAAGGAACACCTTTTTCAGACTCAATACTCTAAAATTAGTACCGCTGGAGACAAGTAGAATAAAAGCCTATATATTCAGAATCCAAAAGAATGCCTGTATTTAAGTTTTACAATCATCATTAGATTTTTTTGCATTTGCATTTGCACTTTTATACTATACTTTTAAAATTGGATGTAGTAGTTTTTGGCAAGTTTGTGTCAATATGGCATGACAGAAAGAAAAAAAAAAAAGTAAAAGCATTTCTGTAATATTTCAGCCAAAACATTTAAAGGAAAATCAGGAAAAAAGAAAGTATGTAATATTCTATACTTCTATTTTTAAAAGTATCATTTCATTTGGGTTATCTGTATACAATCTTGTTCTTCTGGGTTCAAATTTAAAACCGGAATTATTACAGAGAAAGGCACACAGAATGAGAAAGCGATTAAAAAGCTTGTCTTACTAGGGGAGACAATGTCTAACCTGAAACACAAAGATCACAGGTGATGGGGAGAGGAGAAGCACACTGCAGTAGGTGGGGGGGAAAAAAAGTAAGATATTAAGGGATAAATAATAGTTGACCAAAAGAATAGTAAGTTGACAAAACCAGCATGAAAAAGGTGTTAGAAGGAAATTAGAAGATTGCCAACCCTCAGCACTTCCAGTAGAAACTTGGGAAGGCTGAAGGAATAGGAAACAGACAACTGGTCTTAAGACAGTAACACAGCCAAAGCCGACCATTGCTCCCCAGCACCGAACCTGGGGCTGCACACAAGCCTCCTGCTTCACCTGAGATGGTCTTCATAAATAAAAGATTGCTAAAAGATCACTTTGGGCCTCCTTAACCTACCTGACACAAAAAGCAGTAAGGACTTTTTGAATTGCCTCAAGTAATACACAGTGCTTCAGAGCTATTTTTACCACACTTCCTCATTTAAAGGAAAACTGTTGCATTTGATAACCGAGGACATTATCAACTAGGTTGTTAATAAATGCTTGGAAGGCTATGCTCCACAGCCTATGTAAACACTTTCCTTTTTTGTGGAGAGACTTCTCCAGAACCGCTGAAGGCAACAACCTCATATAACACAGATAAATGCATCAAGTTCCAATTTAAAAGTTAAATTTTCTGCTCAAGCTACTTCAGCTGGGAGTCTGTTCCAAACATCAGTCTGCTGAATTTCAGCATGCAATTATTCACGGAACATTTATAAAAAGTTGTTCTTGTGGCAATATCATCTCTGACATGAAGCCACTCTATTCCTTCTGCAGTTCTTCTTTCTTGCATTAACATGGTGCAGTCAGTTCCTCTCCCTTCCCTCTATTTACATGGCCACACAAGCACTGTTGCTGTCACCTCCTCTTACAAGACAGGACCTTGACCATGCCTGCAGTCCTCCCTATGTCCATTCCTGTTCCAAAGAGCCTCTTCCAGCAAGATGCCCAACTTGGTCTTTGTCCCTTCTTTCTTCAAAACCATCACTGCTTAGGTACTATGATTAACCACCTCTTAGATATCTGCTCAAGTTACAAGTAATAGATACATGACAGATCTCAGGAGAAAATTGTTATGAAACCACGACAGAAGACAAGTATTTGTAAGTAATATTATTTACAACAAATTCTGAAAGAAACAACCAGCCAACCACAGAGCAACAAAAAAATACTCCTGTGAGGTTTTATGCCACGATCATTAAAATGCTGGACATTGACAGACTGACTTCACAAAGGTGTTTTTCCACATGCCAGTCCAAGCAGTTGCGCAGAACAGTGATCACTGGCAACAAGCTCCTACTGATCACAACTTTCCTGTCTATTTGCTTTAAACAATTTGCGAATTTTACAAAGGTGGAATTACATCACAGATTGTCATATTACAGAATGGCTTAAGTATGATGTAAATGACCTCAGGCTTCTGAGGAAAGTAAGAGTTTGCTTTCCAGTTACAGCTGAAATCAATAAAACACCATGAATATATAGCTGTCTCCAAAATACGATGGCTGTGGATCTGGAATACTGGCCTCATTTCAAATGCAACAAAGATTTCTCCAACAGAACAAAAAGGCGAAAAAAATACTGGAATGATTTGATACAAAGCTTTTACATTATTAGTGAACAGAAGTCATGACATCAACCAGAGAGAAGCCAACAACTAGAAAATAGCCTGCAAACATCTTGAACCTACTTTAGAACTTGATTAAAGTGACAGAAATTTGAGTAAGGTATTTGCTGTGGAGGGGAGAGGGGAAAGTGTTGCAAAGACTAAGGAACTCAGGAGAACACCGTTTGCCACCTCCCAGCTTCAACTGAAGTCATCACACATAACCTCTGCAGGAACATCCTCCGGCAATGACTAATGTTCCTGGTGCAAAGCTCCCATTGACTTCAATGGGAACCACATGAAACTAGGGAGGAAAATCCAGGCCTGACTGAAGCCAAATTTTGATAAAGCCTTCAAAGCAGGATAAGACTGCACTAGGGGCTCGTATTTCAAATAGTCTGAGATTTCCCCTCAGTGCTAAATATTATTAATACATCAGAAGGAAAATACGTCCACATACCCAACTGAAAAATTCAAGCTGGCTCCAATAATTTTTCTGGAAATACGCTAATTCATACCAGACAAAACTTTGCTCCTTTTACATGTGATGTTACTCATCTTGAAAAGAACTAATTCTATAGATAAAGCACATTTCTTCCTACATAAATTAATGGCTATCTTTAATGGTTTACTATTTATTAACTGCATAATAAAACAGGCTGTAGAAGCAGAAACGCAACCTCCATAATTTGGTAGTGACAACTGGAAGGGAAGGAGAGAAGAGAAATAAAAAGAGCAAGAGTGAGCTGAAACCAAGGAATATTTATTTCCTATTCAAAATATCCCAAAGAACTAACTGGGAAATAAGAATTTGCATGACACCTCACCTTTAAAAGTGTATGCATGTTTTTAAAAACAAAACAAAACAAAACCCACCAAATCAAAAAACCCTACTATGTAAGGGCTGGCTGACATATATTCTAAGCAGTTGCACCAGCCTCTTGACATTTAATATACTAATCTGTAACAGAATAGCTCTAAAGAAAGAGGAGGAACATCTGTAGAAGCCACACAATGAAGGTCAGTGAAAGCCATTTTATGCTTTTTCCTAAAATCTGTTGTTTTGGCTGGGGGTGGGGGAGGGGAGTAATCTCTCCTGCAATAAAGAGTAAATTGAATAAAACCATTTGCCTTCAGGAGAGCTGAACACAAGTGAGCCCAAGGATAAAGGGACAGAATAGGAGAGCTGGTCAGACAAAAATAAAAGTGTCAGGGGGGATCGTACTGTGTATTTACAAAGGAGTTGAATTTGGATGGGCAAAGGAAAACAAGCTCTCCTCATTTTTCAACTGTTTACCACTTTTCAAGTCAGAAAAGTACTTTTCTGGCTAGTTAGAAACTACTTTTCTGACTGTTAGAAGGGATTCTTAGTTCAGGTTTCATTGTGAGAGGATTGCTGCAGATGTTTCTTCCACACTACCTTGAAGATTTATTTCCAGATGAAAAATATTTCCAAGTGCCAGCCTGAATAAACCTTGACTTCATTTATTCAGAGTAATGACGACATCCAGTGGCCACCAAGTTAATCTCAGCCTACAACATAAACTCTTAAATCAGAATAGATAACCTCTTTCCATAAAGGTATATATTAACTCTGCTCTTCCACCTCCTAGTCTGAAAGTATGAGTGCATTACAAGAATTACACTATAATCACTGAGCAAGGGTCTTCCTATTCAGGTCCTCATACAAACTCTAAACAAGACTTTTTCAGTTCTATCTCACATTGAAAAATTAAAAATGAAAACCACAAAAAGTCTTAAGCAGTTCCATAGTAGTCAAAGAAACTGGAAACCAGCAAAAATAAATGTACATCAAGAAATGGACAAGGGGAACCTGCACATGCGCACACACAAGCCGCTCAAGCTGTTAAAACTGCTTGCCACATCTTCCAAACTCAGTCACACATTCATGCTTTTAGAAGACATGGAAGAAACCACATTTCAAAGTGCTTCAAAACAAAGAACCAATGTTTCTGATTTCCACTTTTGTAAAGAACTCAGTCAAAATATGAAAATATAACACTTTAAGCATTCTTGTGTTCTTTCACAGAAAACATCTATTAAACACTTACTTGCCCAAATATTTCTGGCAGACCCAAAACCTGACCAGCGAAAACACCAACACAGATGAAAATCGCTGTGACCTGACCCAATGAACCACGGATTTCCTTAGGAGATATTTCACTCAAATACATGGGAAGGGCACTCAGAGAAATGCCTACAAAGGAAGGAAAAAACCATACATTTAGCCAAATCGCTTTTTCATTATGTCAGGTATGAAACAAACATCTATTGAAAGGAGTCTGAGTGCTGATCTGCTCACACAAGTGGCATAAAAACACATGAAGAACAGAGTTATATCCAGAACAGATGATATGAATTATCTTCTCTGCATATCTAATTACTCTTGCATCATTTAATAATCAGGGGATTTATTATCTGTTACAGATTTACAGTGATGTGCACAGGCAGCTATTTGATGAGAAGCACCAAAGGTTACTGGGTGATGAGAATCACCAGGAAAATAGATTTTATGTTTTAAATTTGTTCATCCCAAAGCAAGAAAAATAATGTTAACACTGGTGCAAGTATGAAAAAAAAAAAAACAACAATGCATCAGGCAGAGGGAGCATACACTGTCAGATGAAATATTTTTACTGTAAACAGTGTTAGCAGATGTTCCTCTCAACACAGGCCTGCAGCCGCAATGAACTCTTAATAGCAGGCATAAACTAAAGGTGAGAATGCTGCTCAAAGCCAGGAGAAAATACATGCACAACCCTACTTAGTACATTGACAATATTTACACATCTCCAGAACTCTGATTGTTTGGTCGTAATCTGAGACAAAAATTAATAGTCAGCACCTAAACTACATATGAACTTCGCAATGCAAGTGATGGACACATCCACTTTCAAACTACAGTTTGTGCTTACTATCAATACAGCCAAAGCTTGCCAGAAATGGGGCTTAGAGAGGCAAAAGTCAAGGCACTTTCCATTGTTTATAGTCACATAAGTACACTGAGAGTGTAAACCCATCTTAGTTCATCATGTCTCCAGGTTAGGTAAATATTTCTCACTATCTAGCAATCTGTGAAGCTGCTGAGACCCTCACTGCTAGCTGCAGGACTATTCTGGCACTGCAGCAGTGCCTCCATGGTTTGCTTTTAAACTGGGAAGACCATGTTGCTAGGAGCAAATGATGATGTACCAAACCTTCCACCTAATCCTAGTGGTATTAGCATGAGATCCAACAACTTCTAACCATAAAGCAGCAAGCAGCTTTAATAAATAGAGTACACCCTTCCAGCCAAAGGATTTTCATGGCATGAAGACAGATACACTCTACTGGGGCTGGTGGAGGAAAGGGGGAGGAACAATCAGGGTGGACACAGCAGTTAGCATTCATTCCAGTGTCTTCTGCAAACAACAGATCCTCCAACCCTTAGTATGCTGTTTTGTCTCAGTGAAATCTGAGTGGCTAGTCCCTGAAATGCCTCTTTAATATAAAGAAAGGTCTAACTGGGGGGTAGGAGAAAGATTATGCATGGCACAAGCATTTCAGATACGTACAGTATGAAAAAATCTTACCTGCATCAACACCCATTATAATGCGGCCCAATATGAGCATTTCAAACGACCCTGCCAATAAGGAGAGGGACATCAACAATGCAGCTGTCACTGCAAACACATTATTGAACAGCAACGTACATTTCCTAAAAGAAAAAAATATTTTATGTAGATACCAGCACCGCAACAGTTAAATCTAGTCATATTCAAAGCACACTAGGCTATTATCCTTACATATCTATAAATAAAAACAGAAAGTGCCTAACAAACACTGACTCTTAGATGTTGTGTAGAGTTCCAAAATACATCATTATACCCAAATGGATACAGTTTCAATCCTATACCACAGCTTTAAAAAGTAAAGAGCTGTACTTCAAAGCCATGGCAATTAACCGTCCTACACATCCTAAGAACCCAAGTGCCATGCCTGTGACTCTGTATATGAATATAAACAAGTGAACTCTGGGTAAATGTATGCATATAGGAACCAGAGAATATACTTCAAATAGCAATAAGATTATATAACTACAGGCATTTTTATGATACATACAGTTTTTGCCCTTTTGAGAACTTCCCAACACTCACATATTTATGTCATTATAATTCAACCTTAAATCCACAATATTAAAAACAGACATGGAGGAAAATTACTTAATACTTGTAGAATTAGAAAAAACACTTGGGCTCATATGAGTGATAAAAATCATCCCTTTTCCAAAAATTGTTGAAATTAACCAAAATATGGATTTACATCTTTTTTTTTGCAAATTTTTAAACTATTTCATTCTGTAGCAGACAAATAAAACATGAAAAAATGTCTTTCAAATAAAATAAATATTCTTGATTGAAAATTATTACTGTTTAAAAAAATCACAAAAATGTATTTTAAAAATTTCAAAACATCTAAATTTCTCATTCGTACTATACCAACAGCTACACTTCTTATAGTTTTCATCTTTAAGAATTTTCTGCTCAAGTCTGAGATATTCATGAATTCAAAAGTGAATTGTAAATCTCGTAACTTCTGCAGAAGGAAAGACTTTACAAAATAAATTATATGTCGGATTTCATAGGCTTTTGACAGTCAGGCTGAAACACTGACATCCAAGGTCTCATTTTCTGAACACATGGAAGAAGAGTGGTTAAAGATATAAGATTAACAACTCTGCTGCAATGATACTCTATTGAAAAATGAAGTAGAAATCCACCCAGAACTCAGAGAATCACTGCCATACACCTATCTCCACAAATACGGATTTAAGTGCCTTTTTGCTAAATTACAGCCTGCAGGTGAATGGCTGGAGAAGCCATTATCATCAGGTGCAGCCTTGCGAGCAACTGAAGTTTCTTATGATTCCCAGGCATATCTGCTGGAGATGTGGTGGCTTCTTTACAGCACATCACGACGAGACAGCTGCTTTGCACTGCTTATGGTCTAACACAAGACAAAACACCATAATGTTCACAATTACGTGGCAAGAGAATGATCGTATCCTGTGTTTTCCATCTGTGAGTCATCTCACTTAGCTATACACGGTAAAGCAGCTGAGGTTAGTCTTTACCAGGTTTTGCAGTCACATAATTAAGCAGTCTTGTTTCTAGAGGTACAACTCAATACTGAAGCCTCCAATCCCACTCACAACAACATATGAAGGAAACAACTGATTTGAAAACAAATTTGATGGTAAATGACACAGGCTGAGAATATACCAATTTTATTTAAAAACTGAAATGGTATTAAATTTATAAGCATTCTCAATGGATTTTCAATCTCTATATATTGTAATTTCCATGCAAAAGAATGACGAGAAAGGCTGTCTACCCTTTTCTTTTCCAAAGCACGTAACAAACCGACCAGCAGTCCTCATTCTTCTCAAGTTCAACACAAAGGTACAATCCGTTGAACAAGTCATCCAACTTCTTACAATAGATTAGTATATTTCTGATAGGCAATATTTTCAATACTTGTATTTTTAATTACTTTTCCTGTCTTCTAGTGATTTTTGGACACTGAATGAATAACATGGTTTGAAGATCAAAAAATGAGATACAGCTCATTGAATGTATATGTTTATACAGCATAGCTGTCAAGAGTGATGGTTTTACCATTTGAAACAAATTTTTCAAATGGATATAATTTGAGGGGGCTGAAGTGATATAAATAATGTCAACAATGGAAACAAAATGTTAATTCAGGTCAAACAAGTGCTATACATTCATATGAAGATACTGCTTTCCTCTTTTTTAATTTAAATAAAACCTATTAAATATGTATCTTTTTAGAAAAGTTGGCCAGTGACCCCTTATGCCATGCAGCAAAGAACAGAAAAGCACAGCCTAACTAGCCAAGATAAAAAAAAAAATATTTTGTCTTTGCCAGATTGAAAAAAAAATGAAAACGAGTAAGTAACACGCTATTTAGAGTGTTATTATATAAAGGATGTAAATTTTTGGTAATGAAAACGCTGTTCTGCCTGTCTGTGGCAAGGTTTTGGAAGCGAAGGGGCTGCAGCGGTGGCTTCTGTGAGGAGACAATACAGGAGCAACAAGGTCAGTGGAGGAGAAGGTGCTGCAGGACTGAGCAGGTACATCCCCAGAGAGACTGTGGCCTGAGGAGGACCCATGCTGGAGCACAGAAGTGAGAAGCAAGGAGCACCAGAGAGAAGTTGTTACGCACTGACCCCAAACCCCGGCACTGCCCATTCGCTCACTGAAGGGACTGAGTGTGACCTGCTGTGTGGTATGAAGGAGGAGAGGAGCCTGGAGGGATGTTCAGCCTGGGAAAGCAGGAGGAAAAGTGCCCTAATGTTTGTCTTGTTTCCCAATACCTGATCGATAAATAAATATTTATGCTAACTGGCAATACATTAAATTCCCCAAGTTGAGCCTGTTTTGTCTGTGGCAGTAAATGGTAACTGTTTTCGCTTTCTTTAGTGTGAACCACGAGTCTTCTCACTCCTGTCCCTCCTATTTCTCCCCAGTCCCTCCATCTCACTTGGGGGGTGAGGAGTGACAAGCAGCTGGGTGGGTGCTTGGCTGACAGCAGGGCTCAAGCTACCACAAACATGAACAGTGGGAACAACTTCTCAACATAGCTCGTAAGAAAAAATTGCAATGAAACCCTCCAAACTCCCCATGCTGTCTGAGTTTACTTCCAGTCAGGCTATATTATATTCAAAATTACTACAATCATAAAAAAGACTATGCTTTTCTAGTCATGTAGCCCAAAACTGTATTACCTTAGCAACAAGACACAGGAAAAAGAAACATGAAAAAAACCCAACAAACCACTGCTTGTATAGCTCTAATGTAAGTGACATAAAGACACCACACTTCAAAAAGCACCATGGCAGATACCTTCCCTTCGGAAAGAACCAATCTGGTCAGATAACTGTGCTCACCACACTTACAAATTATAAGTGCAAACTTCAAGAGTAAGCCACCATAAGAAAAGACACACACTGATGTGTTGGTCAGCCTAACCATTTCTCTCACATCCTAAATCACAAACTGGCCAAGTAATTGTCCAAGTGGTACATGAAACCTACTGAAGTATAAATATCATACCTAGTTCTCACACAGCACATTTCCTTTTTCAGTATTGCTGAAGGTTATAGAGCATGCCAATATCCCTATTTCTGTAACTGGGTAAACAGAGGAGTAGACAGAGAAGTGAACTCAACCTAAAGCTAACATGTAAAACAGTGCCGGACCTGGGAAAGGGAACCTGGAGTCAAGTTCCAGTCCAGAGCCCCGAATGGTTCTGCTACAGCTACTGCACTAAAAATACTAGACTAGCATTCATTTAGATATGAAGATTTTTGTTCCTTCCATTCAGATAATTCAGAATTCTCTCCAGACAAAAGAAATAAAGCATTTATGCATTCCAAAAGAAAGATGCTTTCAAAAACTTCTGATTGAGCACAGAGCATTTGTCACAAGCAGCTACATCCTAAGCCAAACAGTAAGTTTTGTAACTCAGTGCCAAAACTGATTCTCTCTCAGACTGACTATCTGTACTGCTGCAGGAATGTAACTTCCAAGCCTGTACTCATTCTAAAGTAGTCCTAAGAGAAGAACAATTTGCTCAGTAGAAATCAGTTTGTATAAGCATCCCAACTGAGACAGTTCACCCATCAGCTAGACACAAACAGAGCTAAGATTTAAGGACTGTTTTCTGCCTCCTTCTTTTTTAGGTATTTTGGATATTGAGAACACTTGAGAATCTCTTCCTCAGTATTGTCCTTGGCTTTTTGCAAAATCACGTATGGTTAAACTCCTGTGATTTCAAGGTTGTCATTTGCTTTCATATTAGGTAGTTCCAGAGGAGAAAATAGAATCCTAGCAACTATGTGTCCTCCAATAACTTTAATTAGGGATCTTAATTAATAATCTTTTTCTCTAAAACTTGCAACTAGGAAAATTACAGAATTAAAGTTTCATCAAAAATGTATTGTCTCAAATTTCAGTATTAAGACTCCAGAAGCTCCACTCGGGAGCAAATATAATACCTTATGCAAAAAGTATGGTAAGAAAACTAGGTGTTTAAATAAAAAGCCATGTGTTCTTTAACCTAGGTGTTTAAATAAAAGCCAGTAACATACTGAATACTGGATCACCATTTCAACTACAGTAGATGACTTCAGATTAACAAAGTGATAGCATTACTAAAATAATCCAGACAAATTCCCTTAATCACTTCATACTCAAAATGGTTCGCTGTATTTGAGCGAAGGCCTTGTCCTTCTCTCGCCAATGCCTCCCTAGCAGTGGCCAAAGCAATCCACTGAGCATTATCACTCTGGGTGCTCAGGATCTGCAACAGCAGCTGCTCTTCGGTAGAAAGAGACTTTAAACTATGAAGTGTCAAAGACACTTCTGAGCATGGGACTTATGCAGATGAAGGCTCTCTGAAGAAATTACATCTCTCTTAAACTAAGTAGGGACAAGGAATCCAGTAATTTGGAAATTACGTTATTAACCTTACAGCAATATGATTCAAGAGTGCTCTTTTTGAATTCATACATTATCTCTGACTAATGCTTTTGATTCCCCTTAGTTCATTATTCTGTGTCAGTGTAAATGGAGCTCATCTTCATCATACATACAACCCTCCAACCTATACCTGAACAATTTAACAGCAAAGTATTTTATTGTTCTGTCAACATTTCATAATGTGCTCAATTACCGTACCAATATGTCAATCTGGTTTCCTAGACCAGACAAACACACTGCATTGTGAACAGCGAACTCAGGAACCACAGTTTGGTGAGCAGCCTTTATCCAGTGTCCCTGAGACGCAATCCCTTCCCATCTCTAATCAAGTATTTGTACACGGTATCTATAAGAGAGCTCTTTTCACGGTTTAACAGGGATAAATGCAATAAACAGGGGCAGAGTCTCAAGATTTAAAGCTCTGCCCTGGAAATATGATCTGCTCACATCAAAATGGTGTGTGTATATATATGACTGAGATCAGCCATCACTTTAACAAACCTGCATACAAAGCTGTTCTGCTCTTCAAATATTCAAGGCTTCTATGAACCCATCCTTCACTTCACTTTTTAATAAAGTAAAGAAGACTCAGTGACAATTCCAAGAATTAATCAGTCTGAGTCAGGCATAGTTTCATATATTTAAGAAGTGTGTAAAAGCCAAACTGATGATTTGGCAGAAGAAACTGCAAACCTAAAAAAAAAAAAGTGACTATGAAAAATATTTAAGAATTGAAAAACAAATGGTGAAGGGACAGAATACATTAATGATGTAATAAAGGATAACAGATTTACAGAACAGAAAATACTGACTTACTGTAAGCATGAAATGGAGGAACCTGAAAACATAGCCTTTGGAGTGAAAAAATGAGATGTGGAGGAGTTGGGAGAATGACAAACAGGCCTAGGAGAGTACAGTCTAAAGTGATGGAAACAGTCAAAATGTAGAGCAGAAAAGTAAGAACAGTGGAGGTGAATGCTTATATATAAGCTTCTGTGATGAACTTCTACAGTGATTTAGCAAAAATTACCAAGTTATATAGAATTTACAGTTATGGAAAAGCCAAATGAGCAGTTAAGATGAACGCTATAATGTTTTGGGCTCTTTTATGCCCTTCTAAATACAGGTAAATTGCGAATTACTTTTAAAATTCTCTTTGGAAGACTGTATGAAACAAAAAGTTTACAGGAATATCTAGTTAATACCTGCAGCAAAAATGCAAACACACACCAGCACAAACATTCCTAACATACTCATATTCCCTTTGGTCAAGATTTGGTCAAATACTGTATTGCACAGAGCAGGAAAGGCATCCCCAAGCTTGGGGAAGTCAAAACATGAACTTCACGTTCGTTTACTTCTTCAAACTTTATTTTAAGTTGACACAAGGAAGAAAAAAAAAAAAAAGAGCAAATTTTTATTACTGCATGATAATAAATGTTGTTGAGAAGCAAATGCGACATGTTGATAGCTTTATCTGTGTACAGTAGGATGCTCAGCAGACTCACGAAACATGAATCTGACAATCCTTTTTGAAATCTTTCCTATTTTATGGTATTTTCATTTTGAACTCTTGCCAATTCAAACTCCCTGACATCCCAACACACTGCCCGTTCAGAACAAATGGCTTTTGTGTCTCAAATGATGCACAGTAAGGCCAGAGAGAAAGGTACTAATTTTATTCTTGGAAACCTGAAACGCTTAGAAATGAGCTTTCATAATTTGGAGATGTTTAAATTTGCATTCTGGTGAAGAGGTTTTTAAAAAAAAATATAAAAGTAAAGCCTTCTAGAGAGACTAAGTGAGAAACTTCTTTAGAAAATACAAGTTTTCCAATACACTTACCGTCCAAAGAACTTCACAATTGGGGTAACAATAATGGCACCCACAAGGCCACCAATGGCAAAAATAGAAACAGTTATGGACCAGAGGAGCGTCAGCGTGCTTTCATCCACCGAGAAGCCATATCTTCTTTCCCAAGTTTCATTGTAAAACTTCTTGATATACTGAAAGAAAATACATAATAATAACAATACATGTGAAAACTCACACTTTAAGAACACAACTGAGAAACAGAATTAAAAAACACCCAGTAGCTTGCTTGCAGGAATCACCCTTGCTCTTCTACCTCCCTCCTCCAAAATATGATGCTTTACTTGCAGATGCAATTGCAATACAGACTAACTGAACCAGTCAAAGCATACATATGTTTAACTACATGCTGGTCATAAACAAGATGGGGTAAAAACCACATGTAGGCATGAATGTAGAAGGGGCTTATAAAAGAGGAAGCCCTATAAAGCAATGATATTACCATTTAGGTTGTTGGTACAACATTAACAACAGTTTGTTTTAGCCTTACTGTGTACATATGTATAAATCCTTCAGCCTGAAGTGGGGCTAAGGGCTCAGACACAGAATCACAGAATAGTTGAGCCTGTAACAACCCCTCCAGGACATCTTGTCCAACCCCCTGGCTCAGGCAGGGCCACAAAGAGCCGCTTGCCCAGGGCCATGCTCGGAGGTTTTATAATATCTCTAAGGAGGGATACTCCACACAAAACCACTCTACCTGCGCTTGGCAAGGTACTGCACGTCAGCAGAGCTCCATACACTGCTCATATACATGCTCTTAATCTCACACTGGCGATATATCACATCCTAGTGTAACATTTTTTTGGACAAGCCAAGAAAAACTGCACTGCCTGGCATCTGCCATGACTTTTAAAAAAAGAACATGCACAAATCCTTAATGCTAACTACCACTGGTCAATGATCATTAATCAGAGCCTTATGTTAAGAGCTGTGTTGGGTTTGTGTGTGGTGGAGTTTTGCTAGCAGGGGAAGGGCTACTGCGGTGGCTCTTGTGAGAAGCTTCTAGAAACTCCCCTGGCTGCAAGTCAGACCCGTCTCTGGCCAAGGTCGAGCCAATTGGCGACGACGGCTGTGCCTCTGCAACAACATACTTAAGAAGAGGAACCTGAGAGGAGCAGGAGTGGTGAGGGAGACAAACACCAAGGTCAGTGAAAGAAAGGCGGAGGGGGAGTGGGGAGGTGTGCCAAAGCAGAGACCCCACTGCAGCCTGTGGTGAGAGGGCAGCTGCCCCCCTGCAGCCCATGGAGGTCCACGGTAGAGCAGATATCCACCTGCAGCCTGTGGAGGACCCCACGCCTGAGCAGGCGGCTGCTCCCAAAGAAGCCTGGGACTCTGAGGGAAGCCCGTGTTGGAGCAGTCTGTTCCTGAAGAGCTGCAGCTCACGGCACGGACCCACACTAGAGCAGTTCGTGAAGAGCCGCAGCCCATGGGAATGACCCACGTCGGAGAAGTTCACAGAGGACTGTTTCCCATGGGAGGGACCTCACCCTGGGGCAGGAGAAGAGTGTGAGGAGTCCTCCCCCTGAGAAGGATGGGGCAGCAGAAACAGCTGTCTGCAACCCCCATCCCCTGCACCCCTGCAGGGGAGGAGGTAGAGAAATCAGGGGTTAAGTCCAGGAAGAAGGAAGGGGTGGGGGGGAAGGTGTTTTTAGGATGTGACTATTTCTCACTGTCCTACTCTGTCTGATTGGTAAATTAGTGGTGGTGGTGTTTGAATTAAATTGATGTCCTTTTATTTTTTCCCCAATTGAGTCTGTCTTTTGCCCGTGACCATAATTGCTGAGTCATTCCTCCCTGTCCTTGTCTCAATCCCCAAGCCTTTTGTTTTATTTTCTCCTCCCCATCCCTGATAGGGAAGGAATAAGCGAACTACTTTGTGGTGCTGAGTTGTCCTCTGGGCTCAAACCACAACAGAGAAAATAGTTTTACTGCTTTTTCATGGATCTATAGTGGCAGTTACTTGGAACTAAGAAAGGAAATGAGGCTCCAGTAGCAGGTAGAGGCAAAAATGTCTTGAGGAATCTGGCAAATTGGCAGAAATGCAAAGGTAATGAAGATGGAGGGAGTTGCCACCAATTCCTGCCAGATGGCAACATGACTGACAGCAAGAGAAAAGTTTGGCTTGTCTTACAGGACACAGCACCAAAAGCCATATGTTGATAGGTTTGGGGATGTGTGTGGGAGTTCACATGTAACTTAAGAAACTCCCTGGAAAATTTTTCAAGATGCTTTAAAAGTTATGGAAGTAGGAATCCTTTTGGCGAAACTCTACACTGTGCTCACCATGGAACAACATTTATCCTCTCTATTTTGTATTTCAGTCCTAGAATGCAGATCTCAGATTTGCTCAAAATTAAGTACCTTTCACTAGTCAATTTTTTTTTAAAGGTCTAGTATTGTAAAAGTGATTCTACAAATTCTTTATCATAACACTAGGAAAAAAAGATAGAGTGAATTGAAAACAATTAGTATCCATGCAATGAGGGAAGAAGGTAGGCTGTGGCCACTTTTCCATTGTATTTATAACACTGTCACCTCTGGCAGCTATACAATATCAAGGACCTACAAAGTCAGTCAATGAAAGGTAACATTCTTATCCCAAACAATTTACAGCCAAGGCAGATAACTGTTGGAGGAGGAAAGCAAGAGCTGACACCTGTTGGTTTGATACTGATGGAGTGGCAAAAAAGCCCACAATATCAGTCAAAAAGAGCTAGTTGTCTGACACCATTAAAATTAAGAATCCCAAATCACTTTTATAAATATGTTACAGCTTCTCCCCTTCAAATTTACATAAGCTGCTTTTTGAACCAAGTTCAGGTTGCTAAACAAAGTAAGCAATTTATTTGCAGTAATGAAATATGTATCAAACATGAAATCAAACACCTAAGACCCTGATATGAATCTACCTGCCAGACAAGCTGGTTCTCTTAAGAAATTAAAACCTGAGACTTATCTTCTAACTCTTCAGCTATCCGAGACCTACACCATTCTCCCATGGCAGCTTAATTTCCTTAAGAGCCTTCCATAAGGGCCCTCCAGGGTATCTTTTGAAAGTCCAAGTGCCTCTTGAATCTCTGGAGAACTCTGACAGATGCCTGAGTCATGGTTCTCCTTTGCAAAAGCCACGCCAGCTTTTACCCTAATTCTTACTTTTCTACTATGGTTTCTGCTAGTTTGTCAGGTACAAATAATTAATTCTTAGCATGCATGTTCCAAGTTTTTCCCTTAGTACCTTTTTCTTAAAGTCACATTACCCTCTAAGCCTCACTGCTACTGAACTGTGATACAAAGCCTGTGTTTCGAGTTACTATTCAGTCTTGAACAAATGCTGACATATTTTGCTGATGTATTATGCCAAAATTTTTACTAACTTTATTCCGTATCTCTACTGATATTTCAGCTTCTCCAATACATCCTTCTTTTTGAAGGTTCCAGCATGAGATCTCCCCAGACTTTTCCAATTGAAAACATTAATTCAGGTTTCTAGTTCTATCCTTCTACTTTCTGAACACCCTTTTTCGGCTTCATCCATCAGCCTTATATACCCAAGCCCTCTTGTCTGGACATTTTTTATACCTGCTGGAAGTACCCAAACTCTAGGACCAACTCACTTTTTTGGCCTTCAGTGTGCCAGAGTTTATATTCTTTTTCTGCTTTTGTCACATGAGCACAACTGCAGGGTTCTGAAGAGTGCCTTCTAACCACTTCCCTTCCCTGATGTTTAATTACACCAAAGTTTGTTCATCTTTCTAAAAGGTAAAGATGTCATAGCTTCAGTACAACATTTTTACATAGTCTCTGTATTGCCTGCAGAGACATCACTTATTTACTTTCTTTTTAGTCAAGTTTCCTCATTTTTCTGCTGTTCCCATTTTGAAATCATGGGAAGCTCTGATGCTACTGTGGTGTCTGGTGCTCTGGAAAGGATAGAGTGCCAGGCGGTCACTACTGCTGAAGGCCACAGCTCAGACGTGCAACGCTCTCACACGTTCTGTGTCACTGCTCCCCAACAAGCTCTACAGTACCACAAAGTTTTATCTTGGCACTTTTCCCCAGTTTCTTCTCAGATTTGCATGTCATAGGTACTGAATTATCCTGGGGCAGGACTCAGCAGCATAAGCCTAACACCACATTTTCCTTGTTCAAACTAGGAATTTAAAACTTTAGGCATTCCAGCCTTAGATACATGTAGTACCTGATTTGAGGGCTCTAGTTTGAAACATCAACTCTCCACCCGCAAAGTATGGCAGAAAGGTGCAGGTAGAGCATACCACTTAATGTCTTCCTTCTATCAAGTTTCTAGTAGGCCTCTTGTGCCCTGAATTAAAAGGAGGACAGGGATATTTCTCCCATCCTGTCTTATATGCTTCTATACAAACAGACAGAAAAAAAAAAACCAAACAAACAAAAAAAAGAAAAGTCAACTTGGTGCTTGGTCCATTTAGAAGAATCTCACAGTAAACTTCCGAATTAATCTGCCATTAAATCAAGTAATACATTTTATCTCTTTAACATCAATACTCAGATTATATTTAGATTCAGATATCTTCTTGTTTATTTGACATTCACTTCTGATAGTAATGAATACTAAGATAAAACATTTTTAGAACATTATTAACATTTCTTGCTAATGATAATGGCTAAAAATAGGATGCAAATTCTTCTCCCCTGGTGTTTTGACTAATTTTCTCAGCATAGCTTTGTTATTTACAAGGAGACATCAAAAAACTGCAAATATTCAAGAAAAGAAAGTACAAACTACAACACTCATTAGTAACAGATAAATGTGCTGGCGTGTACATCACCTGTGTCCAGATTCCCATTGCCAATAAAGGGGAAGCTAATAACACATACAGGTTTTGAGGAGTTGCACATGAAACAAAACAAATCTATTGGATTTGAATCCATCAAATTCTGTGGAAATGTTCCTTTGGGATTTTAATCAGTTGTCCGAACAACGTTAATGGCATAAAGCTGTATACAAAAATTTTAGCCCCTAGCTGAAGTCTACAAGGAATGGTAGCTGACTGATACCAGTATATTGTATTCTGCTGCCTCATTTCATTTAGGTAGTTGTGCTAGGGTGGGAAATAAGGGGAATATAAGGTACATATTTAAAAAATATATATAAATATAAGGGATATATTTTAAATATAAGGGAAATATTTTCCTTGTCTCTTTTAACTGTAAATAACTTACATCAACAGAAGAGATAAGCTGGTCTTTAAATGAAAATGACCTTACCCATTGTTACGAGGGTCACTCACACACAGTGACAATTATTGAACAGTTGACACAGCAGGCTATACATTTTTGCAATAATCTCACTTTCCCCCTGTCAGCCCTAAAAGGAATGCAGAGCTGCAGCTGCCTGCAGGAAGAGGGCAAGTGCTGCACAGCAGTAAGTAGCAGAGACTTTGTTTCCTGCACAGAGCACAAAGCACATCACTGTTCTACAGACCTTGCCCACAATTGGTCCATTAAATGAATTGTAGAAATTTAGCTCAGAAAAAGACAGCTTCAACTTGTATTCAATTAAAGTATTCGCTTTCCTACTGCCAAATGCTCCTGTACGTTTTTAATAAATTCTGGTAACTTTTCGAACAAGTCCATGGAGACTTTTAATTCTGGGTTTCTCATGTGGCCAAGCATTGTGGGCAAGGGGAAGCACACCTGCAATGGGCCACTGCTCTTTCCCACAGAAAAGCAGGGGACTGAGTGGGAAGTGATCTCTACTCTAAGCAGAGCTGGTGTGGTTTATTCCCCTCTTGCAACAAAAAAGAAGTTGGACTGACTCTACCTAACAAGATGACCTGCAGTAAAGTTCAGTGGTGAGAACTGCAGGGGTATTCTCCTCTTCCCTACAGCTCACTCTTCCCTACCACTATGAGCAGAACCCAGACTCTTCCCTTCAACCTGGTCACTGCAGCTCTGAGGACAGGGATAGGAAGGTGGCCTGTCTTAGACAAACGGATGACACAGATTAACCCTGGGGGTAGAGAGAGGATGAGAGAGGACCAGAGGCCACACTGGTATTTTATTCTTGAACTACACAGCTATGTATTCCTTGTCAGTATGACTACTCCTTAGCCCTAGCTTAGGCTTAACGTGAAGAAAGCCATGAAGTTCTCAAACACTGAAACACCACGCTGCAAAAAGGGAGACTTCACACATACCTGTCAACAGAATGACCAAAGGCATCAGCATGGTGCTTGGTTTCACTCTAAAAGCAACAGCAAAGACCGCAAGCAAAAGCGGACAATCCTGGAAGCATTACTAACCACAACACCTGAAATGTACCAGTTGTCATGGTATAGTTCAACCTCCCCACCCGCATCCTGGTCACCGCTATAATCTATCACATGGTTCAAAACTCATCATCTGAGTGTTGCCAAAGAGCATGTCCTATCATCCTTTCTTTACTCCTGCAGAAAGTGACATGAGAACTCTGATTACTAGGACAACTCATTTTTTAAACGGCACTTAAAAGTTTAGAAACCTGATCATTCTCACTGCTCTGTTGACAGTACCAAGACAGGGCAGGAAGGATGTCTACCATCAGGACAATCAATACCATTGCTCACAGAATTTCAGCTTCCTGCTGATTTATTCTAAGCCATGCTTATCTTCTGATGATTGCAAGGTGAAGCCATGCCTAGACATGTCATGCTAGAATAAATATCCAACTTGTCCAACCCCGTGTTATTGACACAAAAAGTACCAGGAACTTCAAGAAAATTCCCAGAAGTTATGAAGGGGGCATTCCTACAGGCTGACTCTATTCCTAGTCCTTTGGGACATCAGTTTACCAAATCAAATACACATATGAAACATAAATAAATAATAAAAAAAAATTTCTTTCATTATTTGCATAAACATTGCATCCATCTTTAAAGTGACTAACCTGTTTAGGTGGAAACCTAGCCACACATTTATTTTAATAAGAGATTTCCACAAAAGAAGGAGCTTAGCTTTGGAAAGAAATATTTTTAAATGGAATTTCCAGTTCGTTCCCAAAATTTACTAGCTACTTCAAGATAGTGTTGTTTGCAACTCTACTGAATTGCTTACTTCTGTGCTTGACTGAATTAAGAGGATCTCTAGACAGCCAGCATAAAAACAAAATGTTCAGATTTCCATTGATGGTAACTGATATTTTAATGAAATCCCCCCAAATATTGTACACTGATTTCACAGTACTCTATTATTCATCAAATCTATTCCATATGTTGCTGCCAACAGATGGTCAACACAGCAGTTTTGAATTCGGAACCAAACAAAGCATCACCACGAAATGCAAAAGAGGCCCATTATTTAAGAGGAAGCCAAGGGCATTATTTATAGTATCAGGACTATGGCAATAAAATGTTGTGCAACTCTCCAAAACTGAATGATGTGAACAGAAGTTGCTAAACATGTGCACAGAGGTACCAAATACTCACTAAAAAGACACAACATTAAAAATACCTTATCATGCAGAAGTGTGCAAGATTTAGTATCAGTCTGGGCTTGGGGAGAATGAGAAGCAAACCATGTGCACCCATTCACCTCAACAGCAGTATTTAGTTTTCTGACAGCTACTGAATTTATGTGAAAACCACATGGACAGCAGAAAGAAGCTTTCAGGCAAAGGAAAGTTACCGTATGAGATTTAACCTATTCCACTAGACCAGGAGGACTGTAAAAGGATGATGTTGAGGACTGCACAACAGCTGGACAAGTCTGCCCTCTACTGATACTAAATTCCAATTTTGTCAGTCACTTACCACTGCAGGAGCATTCACCACAGAGAGATTGTAACCATAAAGGAAAGATGACCCAAAAGCACCAGTTAAAGAGGCTACAATAAGACTCCCAGACCAATTCTGAAAAACAAAGAAAAGATGCAGCCATTGTTAGTCTACTTTAAATTAACATACCTCAGGTTTTAAACACTCCTTACACTATTTTGCATAGCTCTTGCAGGCAGACGTCCTTGCTGCAGAATAACGGTCTGAAAGATTTCCTCTCACTGCAATCCAAGGAACAGTAAATTTGAAGTGACGGCTTCTCAGTTAACATTTACCAAGGCATAAGTGAACATTTGGACTTCTTTCAACCTCACAGATTTTTGCTGCAAGCATCCCCTCAGCCCCCACACCAAAAACTAAAATGCTGGAGAAGCATGTTCTCAGCAAAGGAAACCATTGGCAACATACCACTAATAAAACAAAGCAAGGAGCAGCATATATTTGATGTGTCTGTGGGTAGACGTGAGTTAGGTGAAAACTTGTGAGACGGTGTCCCCCCCTAATCCCATGAGTATAAGGATTACTGAAATTGTAACCAGAAAAAAAAAAAAAAAAATGCCTACAAACTAGGTTTTGTAACCCAAATGCAAGTCTCCAACAGTAATTTGCTGCCACACACACACACTCTCCAACGAAAACGTCATTTGCCCTTCTTCCCCAGTGACACACCTGTACCTCTCCCTTCTCAGGTCTCCTCCATCCATCCCCCTCATCCATTTTAAGCCCTCCTCTGCTAACAATTTTTTCTTCCACATCAGCTCTTGAATAAAAGGTCGGACTGCTTTGATTTGAGAAACTTTGCATTTCAGAGTCGTTTCCACCTTTCCCAGTATTACTTTCTGCCACTTAGTTGTCCTGCTGGATTACAGGGAGCAGCGTAAGTGACCATCGCCATTCCCAAGAGACGCTGAAGAGCTGGTCGGCTATGAATGTTGCTTTGTAGACCATGGAAGACAACTTGTGTTTATTGACTTCTGAATACATTAAAGCGGATGGCTTTTTAGCGCCTTTTGAATTTAGAAAAAAAAACCCAACCCTCTGCTAAGAATCTAGAATTTCAGGCACAGCTCACTCATTTTATGCCCAGCCTCATCATTCACTGAAGTCTCAATCCTTTCAAAAGGAGAGAGACCTGCTGAAGCAGGCCTAATAAACTCAGCTTCAGTTATATCACTTACAGCAGACACAACAGGTTAATGAGCCAATACATTCTATCAACTGCACAAAGCCCTATGTTTGCTCTGGAAAGTGAAGATTTGGAGCATGCACCAGGTTCCCATAGGTAGCACATGGCATAGCAGCAGTGACGATGCACTGGAACAAGCTCCACCAGCCTCACAGGCACAGCAGGACAAGTGAACATGCTGTGATTGTTAGAGTGTGCCAGAGCTCACAGCCAGAGATGTTGTCGTAGACTTACTATGACCCATGAAGAAGGGATGAGATACTTGGGTGCCAGGGCAGGGACCGAAGCATACAACCCAGCACACGTGGCGTCTGCCATGCTCCGTAGCTGCCAATCCTGAGGGCTCCAAACACGCCCTGTGAGACAGCTGAGTGATTTTAACTTCTTCCACACAATGTGGGAACTCTTAAGGGATTATACAGTTCATTAACCAGCCTGTTTTCAGTCATGTCAGGAGGAAGCGTACAGGGGGAAAAACACCCCATGTAACAAAGATATCCCATTGAGTTCATTAGATAAGCCAAATACAATTTATTATTAGCCAGCTTCTTAAAACGAACCTCACACACACACACACACAGATTTGCATCATTACTTTGGTAGCAAAAAGTAGAAATTTTTACATGACTTTATTTAGCTTCTGGTGATAACACCTCCTATTAGGTGCCCATTATTTCTCTACTATGCACAAGCATTCCTACGCTTAGGAGAAATTGTTACTACTCTGAACAAATGACACTGAGGAGAATATTCCTGGAGGTCTACCAGGCTGCTCTCAATGGGTTCACGAATGATAAGTGCAAGTTCACAAGTGCTATGTGGTAATCTTGATGCAATATTGCTAAAGGGCTCTATTCCAACAATGTTAGACCCATCAAAAAAATCCTGCAAACAAAATAACTCAGAACATATAGGCTAATGTTTATTAAAAACTCCAGTGAATGCTTAAACCTTTCAGCACAGGCAAATTACATGCACATGAGGCTGTGGAAGATAACGCAGTACAAATCATGGAAGTACTGCCAAATTAGAAAACCCCACATCCACTTTATTTTCAAGTGTTGCAAATAGCTGGGTTTAGAGCCTACTTCAATACCATTAATTTTTCAAGCATGCAGTCTGCTGCAGAAAACCTCAGACTTACTTGATTCAGAGTTTTGCAGTTCTTAGAACACAAACGTCAGCTTCTCCACGACCTGTCTCCTCATACACTATTTTAAATATTTGCTCAGGCTTCAGCAGCGCCAGATAAAAGACGAAAGCACAATGAAGCAAGAACGCAAAAAAAAAACAAAAAAAACAAAACAAAAAAAAAAAAACTGTTGCTCAGAAAAATATTAAACCTGCGGCAATGTTAACAAAAGGAAAGGAAATAAAAAAACCCAGCCAATGTGTTTTATGGTGACCGGGAAACAAGAAGGCAACCACGCCTCCCTCATAGGTGCTCCTTGACTTCATGGCCGTTCGTGTGCTCAGGCGTCGCTGCCGTCAGCACAAGGGCAGGTAGGTGTGACCCTCACCGCAGCAGTAAGGCGTTCGGTCAGGAAAGTCGCACCTGAGCTCACAGCGAGGACCTCCAGACTCTGAGAACTGCTTACTTGTGAAAGTCTACATTTCTGGTGTCACCACAGGTCCCAGGGCACCGTGCTCTGAAACATGCTTTTCCCACCTCCTTTCCTCGTTCGGCATGCAGGGTAACATTTGTGTCAGCTCCTGTGAGCCTTACGACAGTTTGCATTTCAGTTTTCGAAACACTGTTTAGAATATTGCACTTTGGTTATTTATAACCCTCGTCTCAGATTAAACACAACTGTAAGCAGTAAACACTGCACGCATACATGAGGAAGTTTTCACGCTCTCTAAGGGATATCCCTAAGACCTGCTCCTGATACCGGGAAGCCGGATTCCGGAGCGCGATACCCTGAAGGAGCTCCAGTTTTAGGAGAGCACCAACCAACCTTCAGCTCCGGGAAGGGCCGTGGCCGCTTCGGCACGGCCGCAAGCCGGCCGGGGCCGGCGGCAGGTGCTCCCGCTGACCCGGTGGCCCTCCGGGCAGCGCTCTGCCCCGCCGGGGCGGGCGGGCTGGCGACGGCAGCGGCGCCCGGGCCCCGCTCCGCGGGCGGACCCGCCGCCACGGGGCTGAAGGAGCGGTGAGGCGGCACGCGCGCCGTGAGGGCGCGCACCGGCCGCGCCGCTGCCCTCCGCCCGTCCTACGGGTCGCGGCTCGCCGGCCGCGGTATTTTTAGCTCTGCCCGCCGCCGGCCTCTCCTGCACCGGCACCGACAACTTTCCGAGCGGGGGAGGGCTCCGCGCCGCCGCTGTGCGACCGGGGCTCTTGCCTCGCCCCCCGCGGGAGCAGCGGCGAGTTGCTCGGGCTCTCGCCGCCGCGCACCAGCCTCGCCTTCTCCTCCCTCCCCGCCACCCTGGGAAAGGGCTGAAGTCACCCCCCCCCTCCCCGTTAATCGTCCCCGAGGCGCGGGCAGCGCAGGCCGAGCTCCCCAGCGCTTAGCCAGCGACGGGCATTTCCAAAACAAAACACCCCCGGGGAGACGCCGCGCTGCCCCGCGCTACTTACGCTCCCGCCTGCGCGGCGGCCGCCCCCCTCTGCCCGCACCACCAGCGTGGCCGCCTCCGGCCCCGCCGCAGGGTCCATGCCGCTGCCGCACATCTCCGCCGGGCAGCGCGCAGCGGGGGCGCGGCCGCGGGAGGTGGCGCTGAGGGGGGGGGGGGGGGGGGGGGGGGGGGGGGGGGCGGCGGTGCCGGCGTTTTGCAGCGGCTCCCGGTGCCCGGCGCAGGCCGCCCGGGGGCTGCAGGGTTGGAAGGGCCCGAGCCCATTTTATTATCTGCGTGATTGTACATAATTTAAGCAAATGTGCGGTTTGCCCGGCAGGCCCCTTCCCTCGGCAGGGCTCTACCCAGCAGGGCAGGGAAATGTCACGAGTGGGTGTTCATCACGGACACCCCCGTCCGGCTTTCTGCATGCAAGACGCTAGAGTAAGGAGGGGAAGAGTTTTCCCGTCTTGCCGGTGCTGTAAAGTGAAGATACCACAAGACTTGTAGCCAATTAAGATGTTAACCGCACGGGGTACAGCTGTTTCCACAGCCTCAGGAGGTTTAGATCTGAAACGCCACGCTGCTGTTGTGTAACGGATGGCAATTAGGCATGCTACCTGGGGAAGGTAAAAACTTTCAGCTATTATTTTTGAAGGTACCTATTTGCAAACGTGGGGATTTTGAACTGTTAAGTGTTAAACTACACCTAGCTGGCAATGGATGAGTAGTAGCTGCATCTGGGAACTATTCCCAAATGACTGCAGTTAATACTGGTGTAACTGAGTTGCTGTTTCCACTTCTGACATGATACCTACCTCACAGCTAGCTCAGAGCTCCCAAAGGCACAGTAAGTAATGCCATAAAGTGCTACAGGTTTGAAAGCATTATATGGTGTAGGAACTTGGAAGTGTCATTGTCTCAGATCAAGCTGAGCAGTGTTTCAATAGAAAGCCAGATGCTGCTCATTAACATGTAAAATTACTGTACATATTGAGAAACATCAGCACAGATGGATGATCCAGGCATCATTTATAATATTTTTGAATGGTCATAAGCTTTAAAAGAGTCAAGTTAGGAGAATCAAGCCTCTAAAATACATGGAGTGTATTTGAGATGAATCAGACACCTGTGTTTTAGTTTCATTTTAAACAGCACAGAGTGCAAGTAGTTCAGTTCATACTCAAATACAAATAATAAGGCTGCATGTGATTAATATGTACATAATTTGTCACCTTCACACACTTGTATTTTTTGACCTTTTACAGTCACTAAGTTACAGAAACTAAAGACATGCTACTCTCTATATGCCTGAAGTTTTAACCCTGGCAGCTTCCCCTTGCTCAAATCTCCATGTTCCCATGGAAAGAAGCATCATTTTGCTTTTGTCTTACATGTCAGAGCAAAAGGGAAAAAGGGGAAGAATACACAGCTTTGCAGGTTGTTGTGTAAGAAAGGCGTCAGAGACAAAATCAAAGCTCCTTTCCACAGAATACATCCTCCCAGAATTTCCTTTTGAAAGCACAGAAACTATTCTCCAAAAGGTTAGCATTGTCCCCCGTAAAAGGGAGTCTTTAACCTATCATGAAGTCAAGTAATCCCAGAATGATTTGCCAAAACCGCTTTTTGGCTAGTACAAAACCAGATGTACATATAAAGAGAAACACAGGAGAAAACAAGAGGCCTGTGGTGCAGGTTCACAGTAAGCCAATTAGTAGTCCAGGTACCAAAGGCAGAAAGAAAACAGCAGCATTATGGTGTTTAGGACACTGAGCCTGTGCCTGCAAGTATTCATATGGGTTCCAAATAGTTATTTTCTACTTCCAGTCCCCAAATAGCAAACAAATGTGTTGACAGAAGATTTGGGGAATTCACTCACCATTTTTTTCTTCACTGCCTTATTTTCTTTCATCTCACTGTTGCTTTGCTGTTTGTCCTCCATTGTGTGTTACCTTTTTAGGTAATAGCTGAGGAAAGAAAAGAAGGAAATTTTTGGTACTGTTCAGCTGAGGTAGGATGGTGGGTTTTTTTAATAAAATCATAAATCTGACCTAGGAAGGAGTTGAAAAACCCTATGAGAAGTCTAGCTACTCCCTTCCAAAGTCAGATCCTCATTCAGGAACGTGTAGCAGCACCAAACTGAATGCAACTGAAGCATACATGCAAACCGTGTTTAAGTAGTCTACTCAGAGGGCAGCATGCTCTGTGGAGTGGGCATAGTAGTTCCTAGCACAACTAAAGTGTGAAGGAAAATAACCTACAGTACCAGGCTCTTCAGCAGGCACACTGTCTCTATTAGAGTAGGAGCATGAGACCCACTGCAACTACAAAACGAGTTTAGTTAGTCAGGTGGAGCTACGTTACTACGGCTGGGTTGCTGCCAGGACAATTTGGATTAACTGATGGTGTGGTTCTAATGATTATTAGGCCTTGTAAACTTTATAATGCTGGGGCATTGCCTGAACATATTTGTGAAGGAGGGGTCCATTTATTTACTGCTCTGTCAGGAAAATTCTTGCCTGAACATCACCATATGTGCTTTAATAATGTTAAAGGACATTTTATTAAGAAACTAGACAGATTTCTGGTGTTTCAGAGAGGATGGATTATCTGTTATTTACACTGTGCTTCATTGTATGATCTTGAGTGATCCATCAGTCTGTTCAGTTAATTTGGAATATGGATTACTGGGTTCTTCTATCTCAACAACTTGAGATGACAGCACATTTCAAGATCTTTGCTTCCTTGGTCATTAAGGTAATGATAAATCCAGTCTTGAATGCAAGTTGTCTTGTAGACAAGAGTCTACAAGCTAGTGAGCTATGATACATGGGGAGTAAACAGTCAGTTTAGTGAAACAGCATTTTGGAGTGGAAACTGTGTTGAGGCCATCACACATGCAGGAGGTTTTTTAAGAAGAAACCCTATCTGATACTGCTATTGACAGTATGGGGACCATTATCTTAGATAGTTCCAAGAAATCAGGCTGAGCTTTTAAGTAAGAGAAGCTAGAGATGTGACAGCATCCTATAAGCGCTAAAGCCAGAAAAATTACCTTCTTCCCTCTCTACCTCCCAGTGCAGTCAATGCTAAAAATCCAAACCCAATTCCTTTCTCTCTGCTGCAAAGGGCCTTAGTCAATTCCTGATAAATTACTCTTCAAAAGAGAACTTTCAAGGCAAAGGTATTTCACTTTATAGGAAAGATGCTTAGTCTCATCATCAAACAGTTCAGCCGTCCTATGCCACATTTAACAAGCATATCAAAAATAATGTCAGACTTGCTCACTGCAGCACCCACATGCTATACAGTATTTCATATACAGATAATGTAGATAATTAAATTAATTAAGGTTGTGACAGTATGAACAAAGCATCATCAAGCTGGAATTTAAGAGCTTACAAGACAAAGAGTATACGTGGCATAGCAGTGAAACAAACAGCACAGGCTCAGTCAGAAACAGTCTGCTAAGCATCTGTAGAGACATAAGTCAATCTCACAACTAAACCACTGGCAAGGATAACTTGTGTCTGCCTTCCCTCACTGAGTCTTTTTTTTTTCATATAGCTGAATCTTTCTCTTGTTCTTTAAAACACTTTTAAGATATGTTTGTTGTGTCTGGAAAGTTTAATTGCTAGCAGTATACCATCTGCAGAAGTGTTCATTCTGAACATTCTCCCATATTTCAGGTAACCCTCATTTCACAACATTTTGAACACATCCATTTGACTGTAGAAAAAGGAATGTTACTATATCCAGGTCAGACATCCAATGTGATGCAAAAGATAAGGAATCTGGGCTGATGAGAGAGCAGAAATCACTGCAATCCATCACAGATTTGTCAGTGTTACTTTTGCAGTCTTACTGACTTGTATGCAAGGAAAACATATTACAGCAAGCAGAAACCTGATCTTCAGATTTCAGTGTTTGACAAAACCTAAAGAAGTGACATTCCAGTTAGGGGAATGAAAGTCTGAGGTTTGCGCTGCTGCTGCTGGTGGCCATTCACTGAAAAGTTTTAATAGGGCAGAAAAATCTATTCCTTCCCCCTGATATTCATATTGCTCTTACCAGGTAAGATGCTTAAGTTGTGGATCCAGAAATATTAATTCATTATTCATTCTTTATCGTGGAAGATGAGATCTGTCTGCTCCCTAGCTTGTACAGTTAGTCAGGAGGTGACCCATAAATCAGGAAAAGCTCATTTACTTTAGGCCAGGGGGCACCATCCATTTCAGCATTACAATCAGAGCTACCATTTGCTTCCCTGCTTATCCAGCAGTTTATTTAGCAATGTATATGTTCAGTTCACTAATAGGGCATGCAATCCAACTGACTCCTACAAATTGTTAGCCTTGGCAAGGATGTCTCAGCACTTCACAGAGCAGGAGCTTTATGACTGGCACAGCAAACTGACTTGAAAGAGATATGAATAAACCTACTGTAATCTAGGTTTGGTTCTGAACTTCTGTTGAATGTTCAGCATTCATTAACGGACTGCAAGTCAGGAAAAAGAAAAGCTATTGGAAAGCTGTCACGTTCACAAAAAGCAAATATGCAAAGGGAGCCATTTCAGATGAACTCAGGTTTTAAATAGCCATAGTTGCTATGTTAGGTGACAACATCAGGAAGGAGTTGACCACCTCAGAAAAGCTGAGTTATAAGCCACAGTTACTAAGAAAAAAAAAAAAAAAAAAAAAAAAAAGAGGAGTACAAGACCTGGAATAGATCAGTTATTGTTGTCCACTCTGAGCGTAAAGCACTGTTAGGGCCTGTAGCCTGTCAGGGCCCATTTGCCATCTTGTTCAGAATTACAGCAAGCCACTGGTCACTCTACCCAAGGCATATCACAAGCAAGCTTCAGGCAGTTTATCAGCAATATAAAAGGTTCTGCTGATACAAATTCCTCATGATGGGGAAACACAGCTTCCGTGTCCGTCTCCCAAGTGCAAAGTATACTACACTATAGAAAGATTATGTCTGTGTCAACGTTGCACTGCTGTGGACAGGGAAAATGTGGAAGTCAGATGAGCAGCCTCCAGCTGACAAAATTAACTTGTAATTATAAACCAGCACAGTCTCTCAAGGACAGAAAGGGACTGCTTTGCACTCCTCAGAGTAAACCTCTTTCAGGTGTAGCACGGAATAGTTTGGTTTCTTTTAAAAACAGGAAAAAGAAGCACTAAGAGAGACAACACTACAATAGGGCATGAATCACAAAGCTTTGGAAAACACACTGATGTAAAAATAACCCAGAAAGACTCAGTAAGTTCTACTGGGCCATGGAGAACTGACATCTAATAATTTTTGCCTTTAGGAAGGCAAAATTGTCCAACTTAAGTACTTTGGTTTGCTATGCATTGTATTGGAAATAGGTAGATGCTTCAGAAGACTTTTTTTTTTTTTTTTTTTTTGGATTCAACACTTGAACTCTAGTAAAAGAGGATGGAGGAGAAAAGTTTTGAATCTCACTCCTATTCCATAGCTTTTGTGCTGCTACCCTTTTTCCACTCAACTACAGTGGAAATTCTCTGTGACTGCAGTTGAGTGGAAATTCACACTTCTGCCTCTCAAAAAAGGAGCTGTCCTTGCAGTATAACAGATTTAAGGTGAGCACTTCCTTGTGCTTCAAGCTAGATGCTTCTGTCTAGTCTTATGGCATGTACTTCAATGAATGTGCTCCTCTCCCTGGTACTGTAAATCACACATACACACTCATACAAAAGAAATCCACCATCATTTCATGAAAAGATTGATCAATTAGAGCATCCAAATGTGAAGAACACATTTCAAGTTTCTGTGTCCCCCAAATCAGGAGCAATTTAGGTATTAGATCCCAATAAGTGACATAACTGGTCAAAATAGGTGTTCTGGAACTCCATGAAGAACTGAAGGAATCATTTTCTTCTCAAGTAGTTTTGTTAAGCTAGGTCTATTCTGCTGCAAGTGAGACTGTACAAGTCAATATTTCTTATAGTGTTTATGGAGAATGTCAAACAGTCCCCATATTAAAATACCATTGCTGGAATCAGGTGTGGCAGGATTTTAATTTGGCACAGAGCATTCCTATGCTGCTGAACAATTTAACAAGAATTAATCTCAAATACTGTAGACAAACCCAGCTTCCACAAATACCTGATCTCTAAAGTAATCAGTTTACATAGTGTTGAAAAATGTCTATGTCTTTTTTACTATATGGGTAGTATCAGTCCTAAAGTGTCTTTACAAGATAATGAATTATTGTATCTGGATTTCAGTATTTCATACAAGTCACAGTCTGATCTCTTATACTGAGAAGGGGAAAGATTGAATTTCTATTTCAAAATAAATGTTTTGGTTTGTTGCTTTTTTTTTTTTTTTAATATAAATGGGGGAGGGGGGATGTAGGGTGCGGGACTAAAGCTATTTTCCATAGAAATCTATTAACCAGGAGAGGAAGACAGATATTTCAGAGTTAATGACTGCTTATATAAAAGTTGAGTACTTCACTAGCACAGGAAATTATTTGTTTACTATTTTCACAAAATTGGTTTATGGCAAGGTAAATCTATTCCTCCCTCCCTGAGTCAAACCCTTGAGAACATTGCTAAATTTGAGAAGTTGCTCCAAAGTATCAAGTCCAACTTCTAGGTGCTACTCACCACATATGCAAAGTATTCTTCGCTTCCAGAGATTTCTGAAGTTCAGTGCAGTTCAGAAGCAGCCCTCTTCTCTGAAACAGGGACAGGTAAATCATTGAATTAAATTCACAGCCAGCTTCAACTCTTTTATACCTTTTCAGAAGTAATAAATAATTAACAGTAAAAACAAAGAATAGTATGATGCTTCAGCTGGAATTCACGCAATAAATTTTTCTACCCAATAGAAAACAAACTGCCTTTTATGGCTGCAATACCATACAAGAGGTCTTTGTTTCAATTGCCACACAATGTGAAAAAGCTTTGCTTCCCACGTTTGAACCAATAGACATTTGAAATGCAAGTGCCTAAGGCTAAGACTCATTCATATACTCTTACCCAGTTATGAGTGACCAGGTGGAGGAACACCCGCAGCATTCTATGTGCTTTTACCAGTGATGAGTTGGGCCAGTACTTGTGTGGGTGAGACAGTGTGTGGCACCTGTCAGGAGTCATCCCTCTGCAAGACTTTGAAGGGCTGGGACAGTACAGTAACAAAAACCACAGTAGTTCATAAAAATATTTACCTTGTCTGCTCTTCTGACTTTGTGACATAGAGAGGAACTCCATAAAAGTCTTAGTTTAAATATTAAAGAAAAGCAGATTTGTCTTTGCTTTTGCTATCGATTCCTTAGGTCCCAAAACTCAGCAGAGATAAGAGCACTCCTCAGTGTGAAAAGGTGCTCACTAAGTTGTTTTTTCCCTGCTGGTATGTATACTTCTTTCTTTGAAAATCCAATGTATGTTGAATTAGGCTCCTCAGCATTTCTTCAAGGACCTTGGTAGCTAATTTAGTTGTATTATCTGTAAACTTGCAGATGCTAAACTATCCGAGATGGAGAGGCAGCTGTACAGATGTGAGTTAGCTGAAACTGTAAATTCTGGCTGGGATTTGAAGTAACCTTATTCTTTTAGGAATGGTGGCATTATTGAATGTATGGTGCTTGGTTCATATTTCAGGTTATGATTTCAGGTTATGGCAGCTCCTATGGGTCACTTTTGACCCTGTTACATAAATCTCAATGAAGTTCTCAAAAGATGCTACCATCAAATTTACTTCAGCTAAACTTAGGCATTCTTGTCTGGTTACAAGTTGCTAATCGGTGAAAATAGCACTTTTGAGGGACAGGAAAGAAGTTCTCTGCAAGATCCCCTAGCATATTTTATCTGAAAGTGTCTTTAGATGTGGCACCCAATATCTTCTCATTAACAGGAAAAAAAAATAAAGTTTTGCACTTTAGCTCAGTGTAACACAGTGGTTATAAGGACACAGGAGATTCCTCATTCTCTAGAGTGAGGGAGCAGACACAAGATTTGTTTGAAACTCACCTATCTCAGATACAAGTGACAGATGATACCTTCCAGACCTATATACATTTAATTTGTTTTAAATAATTACATTTTAAATGAAATCTTAATAACTTTAAAATGAATCCGAAGTGATTAGGTTGTGACATCTAAAACCAAGATGCACACTTCTTAGTAGCATCCATCATTTGTGGAAAGGACTTGTTGCTCGGCATGCCCCATGATTAACACAAGGACAGGAAAATAAGCAAGACAAGGCTATAAAGCTGGCACTGCTACATTATAAAACAAGTTATATGTGGTTATGTAAGTTTTGGGAAGACATGCCTGTTCAAAAAGCATGAATTCAATGACTGTTGAAGAGCAGCCCACCCTGTGCTAGAACTAATCCTTTCAGACTAAACAAAGCTACCTCTTTGATCCAAGTTTGCTCAAGTTTTAGATTCAAGTTTATAAATTTGGCCCATATCAACCAGAGCAAGAATACAAAAAAAACATCTCAAGGGCAACTTATGCAGTCATGACCAAGAAATCGGATAAACGAAACAATAATTCTTTTGTTAGATACCACACAAGAAAGAAGCGAAGATTTTTTTCCATAAAAATGGTTAACAGAACAGAAAAAGTAGAGAGAATCTTTACAAGCAAGCCTCAGTTAAAAGCTCACCAACTGAATATCCAGACAGAAGTCTGAAATTTAATTTCAGGTTCAAGATTAATTTTTTCATTGTTAGGAAGCTGAAAACAGACCTGTGGAAATAAATGTGATAACCAGATACAGCATCTGTAACTATATGTGTGAATGCTCATTCACATGTAAAGATGGTTTCTATGCAGGTAGGCCCCTTTGGAAATGCAGTATCAAACTGGTAAGCAAAACTGATGCCTAGATTTTAGTTCTATAAAAACGTCCTTATCTGGCGAAGTTCTATAAAAACGTCCTTATCTGTAGTAATATAGTTTAGTTTTGAACTTAATTCCATAGGAAAATTAAGCATGTACATAAATACTTTGCTAGTGAAAGTGAGAACATCTAGCTTCTCATTTAGTCAAACCCCCAAAACTGAAATCTGCTGTCTTTCATGGCTGCACCTCCTTGATGGAAACATACCATGTTCCTGAGCTGCTAAAACCACAGTTTTGAGAGAAAAGTCAGGACACTGACCATTTTTATTTAGTAGTCTTTCCAGCTTAAAAATCTCCAAGTTCTCGATACGTAGGCGTCAGTACAAGCAGATCTAACAAATCAGGGGGTGGGGCGGGAGGGGGGAACAGAACAAGAATATTGGATATTTTAAAATAGTTTTTACTGATTATTACATAACAGTGCCTTAGATCAGCTACAGCAGAGTTATTTGCAAGAAAAAGTGGTTAATAATTACCCTTTGCTGTGTTGGCCATTAGAGTTGTTTTAACCATTTTATCTCATTTACACATGCAAATCTAGTATGCCATCATTTAGGAAAAATGAGCCATGGGTTTAATGTTATCATTATGTTAGGGTTATTTCCAACATTACCTCCATGTAGATTAAAGCTAGTTAAATCTTTTCCAAGTTATTCCCAGTGAAGTCAGCCTAGCATCTACCTCCCATTTAGTAAATGTTGAATTAAATATTGACAAGTAAAAGCTTTTATGTTGTAAGGTCATGCCCTGAGTTAAGACCAGAGCTGCTCCTGGGCAGGAAAGGAAACATGCTCAAAGTAACTCTTGTTATAAAGAAGGATTATGCAGCAAAAGGAAGCCCTTCTAGGGTGGTAATTTGGGGCCCAATCCCAAAGAATGCAGAGTACCCAGCATGTAAGTGGGTTTTGGTTGAACATGGGAGAATACTTTCAAAATTCCCAAGACTGATATATTTGAACAGCTTCTGTTGTCTTTATTAATGCTGTAAGCAAGGAAACTTCTCACTTGGGTACTAAGGGTTTGAGATTTCCTTCTCTCTTTAAGAAGTAGCAAAACTTGCTTCCAGGTGGATTCTTTACACATCTTTTTCTAAAGTCTCATTACAGGCATCAAGAACAGGCAGGTAATTTCTACTGAAACCGTTTTTCCAGTCAGCAGTCCTATTACACTTAGGAATTACTTAATACACCTCTTGAAATCTTCAGAGGAAAACCGGTGATCTTTTTAAAAGATCACTTGAATTGCTAGCCCTCCAGATGAAGCTTCATGTTCCCACTCACAAGGATCATCCTCATCAATATAATGACTCCTAGCCCTAGACATCAATCTTGCCCTATGGAGGGGGGCGGGTGGTGATGGTGGGAATTAAACAAAATGCCTTTGGATGCACTGTACTCTCAGCCAGTCCTTTAGCTTGCTCAAAACTTGAGTTGCAGGATTTGAGCTCCAGCCCCCTGGGAGCAGCGAGCACGGGAGTCCATGCATTCCTCTCAATGCTGAATGTGCCTAAAAAGGATGCAGAGCAACCCCAGTGTAGAAATATATACTCGTGTTGCCTTCTTGTGAAAGTTGGTCCTGGAAATCAAGCTAGGAAAATAAACTTTGACAAACTTTGCCCTATCCAGCCTGACGAGTTATTTTAAATGGCCCCAGTCTCAGCTTCTCTTCAAGCTGCCAGACCCTTTTAGCTTGTCTAGCTGTAGCTTTACGTCTGATATCTCATTTTTCTTCATTTAGGGACTAAAAATAATGCAGACTTGTGTAACAAATTATTCTCTCCACAAATTTGTGAAACCTGGCAAGCAGCAGCTTACCATTTATTCTCTTGAAGGCTAAGAAATACTACCAAAGTATTCCCCTCTAAAAATAGGGGAAGATAAGGTAATATAAGAATTAGCTTTAAATTGTCACTACCTTAATTTGTATAATAAAAGCATCATATGTAAATATGGTAAAATTCTGCATGTTATGAACATGGGTGTTTCTGTCCCACTTTAAGGAACTAGAGAATGAAAGAGAAAAATATAGATCCTCCTGCCTCTCCCAAAGCTTTAGCTGTGATTTCCAGGGGCATTTAAATGTCTTCCTGTAGCTTTAAAAACATTACAAAAAAATGTTTCATCACACTCAGTAGGTTTCAGTTACATGAATGTAAAGATGCAAAACTCCCTTACATTTCCAGGGATTATGAAATACCGGAAAGGCCGATGGCTGAAGTGCCTGCTTTGGATTTCAAAAGCTATTGGGGGTCAAAGTCTGTTAGTTATCACTATTTTCAGCAGTTCTTTGTGTCAGGGCCACAAGCATATAGCCTGTCCTGGGTTCAGGGCTGGTTTAGAGGATGGGTGCAGGCATCCAGCATAGGAGAGCCCCTCTGAACAGCGAGGACTCCCCTCCACTTTCTCTCAGGAGAACATGGTAAGGGGATGTTCTTGGCTGTTGTCCTCAGACCAGGTTAAGCCAATCCAGACCTTCACCATGACCAACAGGCCTGACTTTGCAGCTCAAACTGGGACCTGCCTTGTCACCATAGTCTTGCCTGTTGATCACAGGGCTATGCCCAACCCTGGTGCTGGGATCACAGGCCTGGCCCTAATTTACTGACTTTAATTCTCATCTGAACCCCAGACCTGCCTCAATGCCAGGGGGTTTTCTGCAGATCAGGGCTCTTGGCTGAACCTGGCCGCTGCTACCAGATAACTGGCAGTCAAACAAATAGTCAAAGAAATAATACAATCTAACATGCATAAAAAGTACTGTTATATAGTAAATTCAGATGTCACGTGGAGCTACAGACCAGTAAAAAAAAGAGCAAAGGACT